GTTCAGCAGTAGCACAGTGCTCTGCAGTGGTGGGAGCCACACGGAAGATGGGGGTTTGGGTCCTGGGTTGACCTGTACTTTGGGTTTACACATTCACACTTGTGATGATGGGTGGCTGGGGGAGTTTGGGAGGATTGTAACGTGAGACCTTAGAGAAGGTGCATTTCTCGCCTCACGTCTTCATGAAAGAAACTTAATTTATTTATTTATTTGGTTATAGGGCACATATGCTCCCCAGAAAGAGAAAGTGAGAGATCACCCCTCGGGGGGATGGCCATGGTGAAATCTTTTTTTTTTTCTTCCATTTTCTCAGGATTTTGGGCATGCATGCACACTGTTGGCCACAAGGCACCTAGCCACCTTAACCTCCATTCCACCAGCTGGCCCAGAAAAAAGTAAACTTTTAAGAAGGACCCCTAAAATTAGAAGGTGATACTTGAAAGTAGTTGTGAAATTTTCTTATTTTGATTCTTGTTTGTTTTTTTTCTTCCTGTTATTTCTCGATCCTCACTGATAGGCAGGTCGATTTGGACAGTTAACTTACGTCCGCAATTATCAGGGAGAACTGAAGAAGGGTGACACCATCTTGAACACGAGGACGAAAAAGAAAGTGCGGGTGCAGCGGCTGGTTCGCATGCATGCCGACATGATGGAGGTAAGTACAGAGCCACTGTGAGATCAGAACTCTCTCCAGCGCGGGTCGTATCCAGAGCCTCACCAAAAACCATTCTGATTAAGCGTGTTTCCTAGCTGCTTCCTTCTTACTTAGGTGTCTTACAGCTCTGATGTAGCACTTCACTGTAGGCTATTATCAGATATTAAGAACTCACTTTACACCAGCTGTCATAGTTAGTATTATTTTCTCAATGGCCAAGTTTAAGGACAAAAGGTTATTTCCCTAAACCAGAACAGAAGGTTCAACGGTTTGCATCAAGAGCCATCATCACAAAGAACACAGTGGGCGTTTAGGACAGTGGCGCTGTAGGCCCTCAAGGTAAGTGAGTGGCACGCTCACATACAGTTTCCCACATAGCCCAACAAACCTGCTTTCTGAAATATGGTAGCCACAAAAGTCCTGTTTAACCCTAGAGGTTTTAATTGCTATTATAGAACCTCATAAGGACCCTATTGCTGCCAGAATCCTCTGAAGATTTACCCTCTTGAGATCTGGTCTGCGAGATAAATTCTGACTTCTGACTTGAATTCTTAAATTGGCTGAGTCTGTCCTAGCTTTCACAGTCCTTATGGTTAGGCTTTAGCAGGGAGACCAAGCGCACGATGTTGTCCCCTACTCCCATCCTTACCCAGTCCAGTTCCATATTCCTGGAGACATTTATCGATTCTAAACAAAGTCTTAGGAATTTTTTTGGTGGCTCTAACTTTGATCCCTCCTAGAAGACCAATAGGCAGTCTTAGAATTGAACAGCATTGCTGTTCTGTGAGATAGGCAGCAGGGGGCAGGCTCGAGGGCTTAGTGATTGTCACACTGTTTCACGGGCCAGAAACTCAGCCATATGTGCAGCTGTGTAACCATTAAAGAAAGACACGCTCACAGCTGCTAGGAATGAGCTGTCAATATAAAAGGACAAAAAACAGGAAGCTTGGAGGCACCAACGCTTTGTTCTTAGATTTCCTGTGTTTTCTTGACTACTTGCATCTGTGAAAAATTAAGATTATTTTTAGTACACTGAGCTCCATTCTTCGGCCTTTGTTTTCAGAACTTCCTTTAGTTTTTCCCAGTATGTCTCTGTCATGCACAATCTCATATCTATGGCAGCATATGTAGTACATGGTTTTTAATTCTGTAGAAGTAGCTCTAGAAGTGCGAGGCACTGTGTTTTCGTCAGTATTACAGAGCCTTCAAGTAATGATGCCATGGCCCTCGGATTTCCATTTAAAATAAGATCTCATCTGTTGATGTGGTTTAAGTAAAAGCCTTGTTTAAGATATGTCTTGGTAGGGTTAGTTGTGGTGTGGCATTGATTCTAGCTAACTCATTCTCCATAGAATCATGAGAAAGTCTGCCATATTCTGTTTGTAGATGGTGTGTTCATTGCACAATTCCTTGCTTGTTGCCGTGTTAGTCACCATGTCTTTACGTGTGTCACTTGCAGTACCGTTCTGTGTTACTTCCATTCTTAGGATGTGGAGGAAGCGTATGCTGGAGACATCTGTGCATTGTTCGGCATCGACTGTGCTAGTGGAGACACGTTCACAGACAGAGAGAACAGCAATCTCTCTATGGTAAGCCATTTCATTTCAAAGCCGTGTATCACTTGAATTCCAAAAGCCTGTGTTTTTATGTAATAACTTCACCAGTTTTCAGTGAGCACCCTAGGCATCATGTTGGTTGTGACTCCTTGGATGGCAATTAGATAAGCACTCTGTGGAAGCTGATGCCCCAGGGTTTTTGTTTTGCTTTCTCTTTAGTAAAATCATTCCATGATCCTCCAAAGTTTAGTGTGAAAGACAAGCTTCCGCTAGATAATACAGGGACTGTGGAGGTCCAGCTCATCCACCTTGAGATCCACTTCTCCACTAGGAGTGCCTATTTTTGCCATCCATCAGGCTAGTTCCAATGGAGTGCTACTTCTTGTTAACTCAGTGGCCAGAGAGTAGACTGTTCCCTCGATCCCCGAAAGAACTGAAACCAGATACAACTTGCAGACTCGTCAGTAGCAATATGAAGTGATTGGCAGTTGGGGGAAGCGCTCAATTGGGCCTTGAGGCAAACAGGCCTTAGAGTCTCACTTTTGCCCTATACTGCCTAATGTCCCTGAGCCAGGGTATTGTATAGTAACTGCCTCCCATGGTTGTGAATAATGATTAAATGAGGTATTATGTCGGTGAACACTCTAGTCCCCTTTCTCTTTCCCTTATCCATGGTTATAGTATCTTTTGATTACCTTATCCATGGTTATAGTATATTTTGATTAAATAAAGTAGCATCAGAAGACTACAATAGCAAATGTAGTCTCTAGGCAAGAGGAATTCCACATCTCAGCATTTAGACTTAGTACAGTGCTTATAGTAAAGAAACTAATAAATAATGAAGTAATTTATTTAAAGAGGGAGAAGAGCATGCTGTTAATGGTTACCTTTATTATTTATTTATTTACTGAGAGAGGTTTTTGCTATAGGGTGCATACGCTTGCCAGAGAGACAGAAAGCGAGAAATCACCCCCAGGGAGGATGGCCGCACCACAATCCCTTCTCTTCCATTTTCCTCTTGGGATCCTGGGCATGCATGTACACGCGCCCGGCGTGAGTTTAAGCCACTAGGTCTGGGACTCAAACTGCGGTTGACTACATGGGAGTCCAGCAACATAGCCATTATGCTAACTGCTGGTCCCATTGGTTACCTTTATTAATATGCTGTATTAACGTATTTAATGTGAAACAGGCTAAGATATTTATTATAAAAGGGACTACAAAAAGTTCATGAAAAAATAGAATTAAAGAATGAGTTTATTTTGGTGCAAAAAATTTGAAATCCATACATGTTTTGTTGATAATACACATTTTCCATGAACTTCTTGAAGACCTCTTATTATTTTCTAGCTTAAAGCTGTTGGCTAGTGTTGTCCTTTATTCTGTTGTAAGGTAACACATTAATCTATTGGGCCAGCCTGTGGCATGGTGATTAAGGTGAATGGATCCCTCATGGCCAACTGCACGGTTCAAGTCCTGGACCCAGTAGCTTAAGGAACACACCAGAATCATGTATGTGTGTGCCCAAAAGTCCCGAAAGGAGGCAGAAATGGAGAAGGGAGTTGCGGATTACCATGCCACACGGAGAGTGCCTTCTCCCTTTCCTTTCTCTCTCTCTCTCCCTCTCTCTCTCTCTCGCAAGCACACGTGATCTCGGGGTGGGGGGGATAATTTCAACCCATACAGTACCATTTTCTAATTCTTCTTTGTTCTTTCAAAAAATATTTTAGGAGTCAATTCATGTTCCTGATCCTGTCATATCAATAGCAATGAAGCCTTCTAACAAGGTAGGAGTTTGATTTAAAGCTTAGTATATCACAATGTAAAACTGAGATTGTTTCAGAAGATTCAAGTTTTCTGTTTCCTTGTTGGGTATTGACATCACCTTTTAAAATGTACCAGTCTGTTCCTAGTAACTCCTTAGTATGTTTGAAAACATTGATGGTTTTATTTATTTAATTAAAATTTTTTTGGAGAGGTTTTTGCTATAGGGTGCATGCTTTCGCCAGAAAGGCAGAGAGAGACAGACAGACAGAAAGCGAGAAATCACCCCCCAGGGGGAATGACCATGCTACAATCCCTTCTCCTCCATTCTCCTCTTGGGATCTTGGGCACACACACACACATGCCCAGCGTGAGTTTAAGCCACCGGGTCCGCGACTCCAACCGCGGTCGGCTACGTGGGAGTCCAGTGACATAGCCATTACGCCAACTGCTGGTCCCCTGATGGTTTTAAATAGTCACCAGTTTGTACTTTGTAACTCTACTACATTATTGGCTCCAGGGTGCTAAGTGTAATTTTCTGGATTCTAATTATATAAACAATTGGAAAAGAGGGAATGGGCATTAGTCCTAAGTTGTAAAACCCACCTTCAAGTACTTTAGGATGTGGACAGATTGCTTTGTTGATTACAGTGTATCTCTAGATTTTGTGGCAGTTACGAAGTAGATATCTGAGTACAACACCAAAAGCCTATAAAGAAGACTGTTTTCCCCCTTTACATTTGAGTTTTTTAATTATTTAAAATGTTCATAATTGGGTTTGCTGACAGTTAACTTTTCACAAAGCCAAAATCACTAGAATAGATTTTGTGTTGGTATTGCATTTCACTTGAAACTAGTCTGGTCTAACCATAATTGTTTGCATTCCTAAGTTGCCTTTGGCATTCATAACAATCGTGTCAATGGGGCATGCATTGAGTAAACACTTTGTGACACTGAACACTGGATGTCTATTGTCATTTAGGAACTGTCGTTTATGGAACACTCTGAGGTGGTGTCATGCAGGATACATTGTGAGCAGCTGCTACCTTATCTTTTTTGAGGAACCTTGAGATTTTTCCAGACCTTTCTCAGTATAGAAAAGAGAAAGTTGAGGTAGCCAGAAATATTAAATCACTCCATCTTTTCAGAAATGTGAAGATAGGCGAATCTTACATCTTCTCTCACCTCAGTAAGATGCCATAATTTGTTCCAAGTGTTTTGCTAAGACTGCTTCCCTTCCTATGGAAATACGCATGGGTAGAAATGAAAGACATTGAGATCAGCAGACGGCATAATGCTTACATTGCTGGTCTTCCACATGGTCGACTACGGTTAGAGACCCAGGCCTGGTGGCTTAAAGCTCACACCGAGCACGTGTGAATGTGTGCTCAAGATCCCGAGTGGAAAATGGAGAAGGGATTGCAGTGTGGCCATCCTCCCGGGGCGTGATTTCTCACTCTTCATCTCTCTCTGGCGAGTGCACAGTCCCCATAGAAAAAAATCTATCAAAAAAGAAAGAAAAAAAGAAGTTAGAGATATTTTGCTTCCTCAATTCTAAATCCAGAGTTTATATAAGATCCTTAACAGTTGTTAATTCATAATAATTGAGGGCAATGAAATACATCAATTTCCACAAGTGTTTTATTGGTGTTTTGGAGTTGTTTAAACATTAAAAAAAACTTTGAAGTGCCTGATCCCTGGAGTAAATTAATTTAAATCAAATAGTGAAGTCACTGCATAAAGCCATAAATCTCAGTAGTGGTAGCAGGGATTAATGCTTCTAAGTTGAAAAGATCTGCCTAGAGGGAACCAGTAGTTAGCGTAATGGCTGTGTCGCTGAACTCCCACGTAGTTGATCATGGTTCGCGTCTGGGACCCGGTGGCTTAAAACTCACACTGGGCACGTGTGCGTGTGCGCCCAAGATCCCAAGTGGAAAATGGAATTACATCAGAGAGAATAACCATGCATCATTTGTACAGAATGCAAGCAGACTGTTTTGAAAAGGAGCCACCCCATTGTGTTTGACTTAACTGTTCGGTCCTAACTATCCTGCTTGAGTCTCCAGTGGTGTCTTCGTAAATATGCTGATTTCTTTGATTATGGTTATGTGTAGGACTTCTAAAATGTAACATAGATTTCCCACCTGCTATTGAGCAGCTTTTTACAAGTGAAAAGATTTTTCCAATTTAACAGTTGTTTCCATCATATGCGAAGTAAGTTTTATTTAACTAGCTCTATCCTTCTCTCTTGGCTCTGTAGTACTCAAGCTTACATTTTAAACTAAATGTGCAGAGTAGAACCTGATATAGATCATTTTTATTTTTTTAACTGCTGATATATTTGATTTCTTAACTAAAGTTCTTGCTTTCAAAAATGCCATTGTTTATCATGCTCAGTAAAATAAATAATTACTTTTTCTTTTAAAGAATGATCTGGAAAAATTTTCAAAAGGTATTGGCAGGGTTACGAGAGAAGATCCTACATTTAAAGTCCACTTTGACCCTGAAAGCAAAGAGACTATTGTGTCTGGAATGGGAGAATTACACCTGGAAATCTATGCTCAGGTAATCAATACAGAAGTTATATTGAATAAAATTTATTCTTGTCTGTGCTTTATTCAAAGCCAGTCAGTAATTCTCAACCTCATGGCCGTAAGCTAATAGTGTTTGAGGGCTCACGCTAGTGTATATCTAGATGTGGTATACTGCTGCTTCTATTATGTGTTACAAATTAATTCTTTTCATCTCTAAATCTTTTTCATTATAAAACGTGGATTCCTAGAATCAAGGTTTAGGGGATTTATAGAGAGACCATCCATCCATCTCCAGGTCATGGTTAACTGGTTCAAGTAAATGCTGGTCGTATCCTTAGGAAGACAATCTGAGCCACACTGGAAAATCCTAATATAGGTACAGAAGGGTGGATGGGGCCTGTACTTTCCTAGGAATGGTCTCACATACATTTGTCCCTCAGCGAGCCTAGGGGATTGGTTCTAGGACTCTTCCCGATGGATACCAAATTCTACAGATGCTCAAGACCCTTGTAAAATGTGTAGAATTTGCATATAATCTACTCACATCTTCCCATATACTCTAAATCATCTCTAGGTTATTTATAATACCGTAAAATGGAAATGCTATGTAAATAGTTGCTGTACTGTATTGTTTAGAGAATAATGATAAGAAAAACGTCTGTACATGTTCAGTACAGGTGGATCTGTCAGAGGCCTCCTACATGGTTCATGTCAGAGGGCCAACTGTTTAGCTGAAAACAAAAGATACGTGAGGTAGAAGCTGTGGTGTTACACCAACTCTGAGGCTGAGATTAAAAATTTTTTCAATAGATTTATATCTAATTCTTGTGAATATGTAACAATGTTGAACACTGGTAACATTTACTGGCTAGAGTAATTGGAAATGTCAATCTGTTTAAGTTAGAATTCATTTTCTTAAAATCTGTAAAAGTGGCTTATATTAAATGTCAAATGTCTAATCCTTATAAAATACTAAAATGATTTTAAGATTTATTATTTGCTTATCTATTATATTTAAATGAATGCTACTTAGGTATTTAAGATGGTTAGGATTTTCTTCTTTCAGTTAATTTTTTAAATATACCAAGAATGACCTTACCCACTCTTTTTAGAGAATGGAAAGAGAATATGGCTGTCCTTGTATCACAGGAAAGCCAAAAGTTGCCTTCAGAGAGACCATTACCTCCCCTGTCCCGTAAGTATGCAATGCAATTAAATATTATGAGGCCAAAATCGAAGCTTTATTATGGGATATTACATATATCACTATTACTGTTATGAAGACATTTTTATGTAGTAACACTTTTCATTACGGCATCTTGTATGGTTCTAGACTATAATCAAGACATGTATACAAAGTGACACTTTGGGATCTGTTTGGTCCCTTAAGCTAGACACAGGTGACGATGGCATACACATCATTAATGGACACTTCACACATCGTCCCAGTGTTAGGGTCTCCGTTTATTCCAGTTGTTCCTTTGGCAGACGGCTATTATGTTTGACTTTAGTACCATATTGTGGATGCCAGAGAACTTGCATTTGCCAAGGAATAATCTCCTGCAAGTAAAGAAAATTAATAACATGATAAGAAAACATAGTTGGGTTTTTTTTTTTTTGAGAAGTTTTTTTGCTATAGGGTGCGTGCGTTCGCCAGAGAGACAGAAAGCGAGAAATCACCCCCTGGGGGGATGGCCACGCTGCAATCCCTTCTCCTGCATTCTCCTCTCGGGATCTTGGGCACGCACGCACATGTACCTGGCGTGAGTTTAAGCCACCAGGTCCGGAACTCGAACAGCAGTCGACTACATGGGAGTCCAGTGACATAGCCATTACACTAACTGCTGGTCCCAGTTGGATTTAAATTTTGTTAGAGAGAAGACAGTCTCTATTCTTTATAGAATAGCACAAAACACATTAAATTGCTGTAAATATAATATACTTTAAGCTGTACCTATCTGAATTTACATGAATTCTGATTTTAGAGTCAAAATCAATAAAGCACACTGATTATAAAAACAAGTCTCAGTTTTCACAATGGCATCCAAAAAATGTAAATGATACTTCACCTGAGATGCAATGTCATGAAGTAGAATGGTGTAGTCTAATTCAATAAAGTCGTCATTTCTTTGCTATGACAAAAAACAAAATCCAGGTGTTCAAAACTCAATAATATCATTGGCAAGAATGACATTTTAAAAAGTCAACCCTGATTAGTAGATAATTATAATACTTTCATGTAGGTTTTTGTCTGACATAAAAACTATTCCCTTACACTAAATAAATGTTCTTCATTTTAAGACTAGGATTTTATATTTTACTTAAAAAATCATTTACTTGTTTCTTGTTTCCAAGTTGTGGTAGCTACTTAAGAGCACTATAGTATGTAGCTTGCTAATTAAGGATTCCTAATGTTTCCATGGTTCAAAAAAAAATATATCATTTAGGGGGTAAACTTTAGCAGTGAGTACTTACATTAAAAAGCAATTTTATGGAAGAAATTCTCTTTTAGAAAACTGAAAATAAAATGCAATGATTGTAGTCTGATTTCATAATTAAGTCTTTGATCTATACTGTTTATTGCTTTGGGAATGAAAAATATTTATTCCGGCACCAGAGGTTTGCAGTGCCTACCCGGGCTCTTTCAGGCTTACAGTTGCCGGGGGCAGCTCAGGCTCCTCTGTTAACAGTGGTTATAAATATGGTCTCTGGGCCAAAGAGAAGCATACTGTTATCTCCTTAGAGTATTTTATATAACTTTTCTCTGAATATATTAACAAGGAATGTCCTTTTCCCCCCTTAATCGACATAGAATAATTATACATACTTAGGGGTTACAGTTAATATTTTCATTCTTCTATACCATGTATAATGATCAAATCACTGTGTTCATCATCTCAAACATTGATCATTTTTTTGTTTTAGAATTGTTAAAATTCTCCTAGCTATTTTGGAAATATACAAAAGAATGTCTTAAAAATAATATAAGAATCAGTTCATGGTTCTTACATGTCGACTCTCAATGGGTAAAGATAAATAATATGTATGACTTAAGTGGCAGTTAAATCCTTCTGTTGAGATTGATTTAAAACCATAATTCGATGAAGGGCTATGGGACTTTCTTTTCATAAAAACTACTAGCACTGTTTTGTGCATATTTTGCTAAAAACATGGCTTGCAAACTCATGATTATGGTTTGTGGCCTCTGTCCCTGGACTGAACTATTCCAGTCCTCTGTACCCCTATAGGAATGTTGTAACCAAGGCTGATGTCTGAAGAAATGCCTCAAAAAAAAAAAAAAAAGCTCATTCTGTTTCTCAAATTGCCATTATAAAATCTGTGTCGGGTTTCTGATGTCACACTGTGTACTGCCACCGGTATCCTGCCCTCCAGGGCCTGAAGTTACAGTCAGTGATTACAAAAGCCTGTGAAGAAAAGGTGTTCTCCTTTGCAGTCTGTTACCAACAAGCTGCAACAGGTCGGCTGGGAAGCCCTTTTCCCTCGTGTTGTTGACTAAATTGTTGTGGCTTCCTTGTTCTTCAATGTTATTTTTTACTTTTCAGCCTCTTAATAACACTAAGATCAAAGAATTCATTCTTATCTCTTCAAGGTCTTGAAAAATACACTTCTAAATAGTTATATCAGACTTAAGAAAACAAACATAAGGCTTGGAACAAGTAAGATAGGAGCTTATAAATGATGATGAAATGAGCTATAAAAGCTTACATACAGAGAGCTAAGGAATAAGTGGTAGAACTACTTCAGAGACGAGACAACAAGCTTCACAAAGGCTGAGACACTACTAGGTGTCTTCAGGCTCATCCCTGGGGGAAAAAATCGCCAGCCATGTATCTAAGTAGTCGTGCAGCCATTTCAGTAGAGGAGAAAAGCAGACATAGTTTCGGTATGGCATGACTTTAGTCACTATGTGACTTTGAACAACACATATTTAGTTTGTTAAAGGAAATAATATGTATTAAGTGGAGCAGAAAAACAGAATGCCAAATTATAACTCTCACTCTCCTGCCACTGGTGTGGAGGTTAAAGTGGCCAGATCCCACATGGCCGACTTCATGATTTGAGTCTAGGACCCAGCAGCTTGAAAAACATGCTGGGCACGTGTGCATGCATGCCCAAATCCTGAGAGGAGAATGAGGAGAAGAGATTGCGGCAGGGCCATCTCTCCTGGGGGAGTCTTGCTTGTGTCTGCTTTTCTCTCTCTGTCTCCAGGGAGCACACATGCCTTAGCAAAATTTAAAAAATTAAAAAATTCACTCTCTTGAGAGTGCAGCTACTTACAAATGCCATGGAAAGTAGCCCCAAGGACCTTTGTAGAGCAGGTTAAAGATGGAGAGAATCATTCCAAGTACATTGTGCACCTGGGATTCTTGCTTCTGCTATTAAAACTCTCCAAGCCTTTTTGCTCTAGAGGAGGACTTGAGTTTGTTAAATCTGACTTATTTAGCATGAAAGTTTGAGAAATTTCCAAGGTCATTACCAAGGTGCCTTCCGAAAGTGCAGCCTAGATAAAACTCATTAATAGAAGTGTTGCATCGAAGTCCTTGGCTTTACCTTACTATCGTCATGCTGCTTTGTCAGTGTGTGCCCAGGAAATGCAAATTAACTGCACGCTCAGTAGGAAGGCATATGCGAGGCAAATAATAATTGCAATAAATATTAAACCTGTTAATAGTATATCATTTAGAAATTCCTTACCACTTGCTTGACAGTTTGAATCTTTGCCATTTTATACCAGGTGTTTTCTGTAGAATTCTGCCATATTATATAACCACAGGCAACCCAGGCTAAATGTCGAACTGGTTTCATTTCTGGAGATACGTTTCCAAAACTGTCTGTGGGGGAGGAACATTTATATTACAAATGTAATTATTTCATTAGACAGTGTTAACTTTTTAAAAACATCTAAATTCTAAGTCATGTCTTAGTTTCCTTCAAATGTGTACAGAATATAACTTAAGACATAGATTTATAAAGTTCCAAGTCCTTTTCATTGTTGTTGGTGTAGAAATGAGTATTTCTGCAAAAGCCAAGTGAATTTCCAACCTTGTTAACATCTAACAATTTTTAAACGTTTTTTCATTTTAATTCTTATTTAATTTTTGCCTTACCTTGCGTTCCCTGGCAGAGATAGTGAGAGGGAAAGTGAGAAATTACCCCCCGGGGGGATGGATGGGCATTTCCTTCTCCTCCATTCTCCTCCTGCGATCTTGGGCATATTGCACGTGCACCCAGTGTGAGTTTCAAGCCTCTGGGTTCAGGACTTGAACTGCGGTAGTCCATGTGGGAGTCCAGCGACATAACCACTGTGCCATCTGCTGGCCCCAACATCTAACAATTTTGAGCATAGATAACTGCAACCAATTTTAAAGCTGAAAAAATTTAGGCCATTTTTATATACCTGGAATATTTTGTGCTTCTAGTGGTTCCTTCATGGACTTGAGTCTTTGATAAAAAGTGTTATCTTCTTCGTCTGGGTTCTTTCCAATTTCCCCTTCAAATGTAAAGTTGACTTCCGGTGCAGTAGCTTGTCCCACAGGAGGATAAAGTACTTCAGCTGTGCAGTTCACCGTAACTTTCTGTTGGAGACATTTTTGCAAAAGACCCTTACATGGCCTTCCATTACTAATTATTTTTCTTTGGGGTGTTAAAGTAGTGGCCTCTACAGGTGCTTAGACTTGATTTTCAGAGGTATCTAATTGGGCCCAGCCTATTAATTTTCTACAAGTATCATGTGGCTACTCTAAAATAACTTACCTTATATCTTACAAGATCTCATGATCTTAAAAATTCTCACTTTTAAAACTTCAATGTATTTCACTACTAAAGAAATGTCCATTTGCAAGGCCAAATTTTAGTCTGGCTTTATATACCAACTCATGACTCTGGTTACTTTTTAAGTTTTTCCATTGCCCTTACTCCCTGCTTATATAATGACAGGAACTTTTTTCCTCCTCAAGTGCCAACACAACAATGTGTATCTAGATACAAAATCAGGGATTGTAGCACTGGCTTATGTTTTTTTTTTCTTTTCTTTTCTTTTCTTTTTTTTTTTTGGAGAGGGTTTTGCTATAGGGGGCATGCGCTCGCCAGACAGACAGAGAGAGACATAGAGACAGAAAGAAAGCAAGAAATCACCCCCCAGGGGGGATGGCCACGCCACAATCCCTTCTCCTCCATTCTCCTCTTGGGATCTTGAGCACGCACGCACACGCGCCCAACATGAGTTTAAGCCACTGGGTCCGGGACTTGAACCGCGGTCGACTACATGGGAGTCCAGCAACATAGCCATTACGCTAACTGCTGGTCCCACACTGGGTTATGTTTTGTAAAGACGGCTGTCTTTAAGCTCAGATGCCCTTTATAATGAATCTCCTCATGTTAGCCTGTCTCTATTCTGAATTGTGCTTAACAAAAGGGCAAGTTTTTTAAAATGTTAAGATGGTTGTGTGCAAACTTGCTATTTCTTCCTTTTAAGTTTTTCTCAAAAACTTGATAGGAATATAATTCTTAAAAAATTTCCTGACCTGCTAGTGAAGGGTCTTTATCTGAAGTGGTATCAGTTGGCCATTCTGTTGCTCACGAATATCTAAAAGCACTTACTTGCTTTTAAATACCCAGTCAAAAACAGGGAGAAAGACAGATGTGAGAACAGAATGCCCTACGAGTTTAGAATTTTAAGGGAATTTATTTGAATTGAAGCATAAATCTGTTTCCTGTATACTTTAATAGAAATAATTCGTGTATCTCCAAATATAAAAGGATGGTAACAAGTGATCCTTGTATGTGTTGCCCATATGGTCAGTCATTTTTAGAGGCAGGAATTTAACAATTTAAAAGTAGCAGAACTATTCCTATGAATTTGTCAGCAAAGATGATCTGAAATGTTTAGAAAGAAATTCTATTTAATAATATAAGTCATGTCACTTACTTTTTGGATAATTTCTTCCACAGAAAATTTCAGGCGATACTTATGTCCTCTTCCCGGAATATCCTGAAATTAAGAAAATGTGATGGACAGAAGATGATATAACAGTGTATCAGACATTTGCATTGTTAGACCGACAACCCATTCTCATTTGCCTGAGGAGGCTGGCTGGTGGGGAAAATGACCAAAGCCTTAGATCTTGTCAGGGCTGGCCCTGTGACCTAGTGATTGAGGAAGCCAGATCCCACATAGTCAACTGTGGGTTCGAATCCTGGCCTCTGCAGCTTGAGAAACATGCTGCACGTTCTCGGGAATGTACCCAAAATCCAGACAGGGTGGAGAAATGTAAGGGGAGGGACTGCTGTGTGACCACGCCCTGCCAGAGAATGCTTTGTCCTTTTCCCTCTCTCTCTCTCTGGCAAAGAAGGAAAGGAAAAGGCCTATCACTCTGTATGTTACATCTAATTCAGCAGGTGCATATCAAGTTTATTTTGGATAAGAACAAAAGGGTAGGATAAAATAATACAAATAAAACGGGCAAAGCTTTCCATCTGAACACTTCGAACTCTGGATCTGTGATCCTGAATGCTTTCTCTGCATAAATTTTGAAACAGCTTTTAATTCTAAAGATGATAAATAGGATGCACCTTTGAGATTTTTTTCCCTAAAGCCCAGCGTAGTGTCCAAATGTTCTATGAATGGGAATTCCACTTTGAGGCAGATTATTGCAAAATGATTGGAGACTTAATGTACTTAAGTAATGTTTTTCCTTGTAGGTTAATGGACTTGCAAAATGGTATTTTAACAAGTTTTGTGAATAAGACAAATGCTTAGATATTTCATTTTAAAATCAAGAAAGATGGAAAATGTCTATCTAATTAATTGTATTACCTGGTGCAGTTTAAAATAAATAAAATCTGCCTGTCGGCTCTTAAAGACTATGTGCAGATAAAATTATATCCAATAAGTAAGGGGCAATCTGAAATTCAGTGGACTTTAGTAAAACGGAAACAGATATAGCTGGTGATCGCTGAGGTCTTAAGCATTTAATTCCACCCATTAGCCAGAGGGAGCATATTATGGCAGTTATACAGCAGTAGTTTTGAAATAGTTAAAACCCACAGTGTTTTTATTTACTCTTGTTTCTCCCCTCGGTTTGGTCAGAGGGTCTATTACAGATTGGTCTTGAAACATAGGTACTGGAGCATCATTTGGAAGACAGAGCTTTGGTTGGTCCCGACCTGAGGAGCAGGTTAAGAAACGCAGCCGTTTTCAGGATGATTTAGAATGGCTCCTACAGGTTTCACTTGGGGAAAGGGGACCATGCCGGCCTCACTTAGAGCGTTTTCCCATTTAGTTGTTACAGTGTGCATAAAAACCATCTGTGTGTCTGCTGTAACGGTGAGAACCACAGCCCTGGGCTGACCGCAGAGACAGGAGCCTAGGCTCTCCCCAGAAGTGCTTGCTTTTCTAGACCAGACGCCAGCGAGTGGCAGCGTCCCAGAATGGGCGCGGACCGAAGGAAGGGCTCCTAGAGGGCAGAGCGTGCGGGGGCAGGAGCCCGAGCCTGGCGGGCATCCCCGAGCCTGGTGGGCATCCCCAGCGAGACTTACCTCCATGCTGGCTTGTTTGACCGTCTGCACCAGAAACACCTTGTGGGGGGTCCCCTGCTGGTAGTTAATGCAGTTCTCTGCCACCGACGCCGCCCTGGAGGCTGGGTAATGATCCGGCGGGATTTCCATTCTCAGGGAGCAGTGGCCGTGGGGTGCTCAGTCTTACCGCGTGACTCCTCTGCTCCCCGCTGGCCCTGCGTACTGGGTGTCCCGCTCGCTGCCGGGTGGGCGGAGACGTCTCGGCACGCCTAGGCTGGGCCGGGCGTGGGCGGGTCGCAGGCGCCTTCCCTCGCTCACCGCTCCCTTCCCCTTCCTCCTTCCCTCCCTCCCTCCTTCTGACTCAGGAAGCGCTGTTAGGGCTCCCACTGCCGCCTGGACCTGAGCGGCTGTGTCTGCCGCCCCGCCCCGCCGCCCTACCTGCGGATTCCTGGTGGAGAAGTCCACCTGCCAGGCGGAGGTGCTGGGCTAGGTTGGCCCAGACCTCTCTCCTGTACTGCGGGGAGTGGCTTTCTGGCCTTTGCGTTTATAGGTTGTCTCTGACCTGTCCCTGGAGAGAGCCTGGTTGCTTCACTTGCAGGCTGGAGGACAACTTCCTTATGCACCGCACCCAGCACGGTGCAAAGGTGCTTTGGGTAGTG